TGCTCTAGATTGCATTGGCTTCTTTTTGGCAGTTGCAGTAGACTGTTGGTTCATGCTTAAGCTGTGGTCCACTAAGACACCCAGATTCCTCTCACAGGTAACAACATCTGTTGAGCCAGATATTGTCTGTCCTTTACATGTGCATTTAGTTTTTCTTACCTAAGTGCAGGGCCTTATTTTTCTCACTTTTGAATTGCATTTTGTTGGAGAGGGCCTAAATCAGCCTATCTAATTTGATATCTGCTGGTTGGATTCTAACTCTTAAATGATTGCCTAGACCCTTTCATGTGTTGGTTCTTTGCATTCTTATAAGAAAGGATAAGATATAAGTGATAAACTGAAATGACTTGGAGTCTGGTTGTCTAGAATTGTATTTGAACTCGGTGTTTCTTTAGAGATACTCACAATCCCATAGTTCTCACTTTGCTATGTGTATTTTCATTGTAACTACTCTTGTAATAAACTTATGGGATAGATTATTCTGAGATAGAGAATGACCCTGTGGATGTGCCTCTTTGAACTGATTGTTCATGGGCATTGTTCATGGCAGATTTCTGTATATCTTATATGATATTATACCACAATCTTGCATTATCCTAGTTCTCGCACATTTTGGAAACTAGCAAAGTTGCCATTTCCAGTACTTGACTTAATTATCCTATTTCTATTATTTTGGTAATCAAAGGCTTCTTTCATTAGTTCTGATTTGTGCATATCTTTCTGCAGTTAAATTCTGTTTTTAATCTTCAGCATATCATGTAGATGTCAAAAGGTTGGTCCAATTTCTGCTTATTTTTTTTGGTTCACTGCCTAAATTTAAGGCCTATCCCATATCTGTATGAAATTTGTATTTTTTCATATTGAAGAATTATATCGTTCCCCAGAGAGCTTTAATTTCTTTGTCATTCTGTTTTACATTTAGTGTTAGAAATTTTTTTAACTTAGTTGGAACTTAGTTGGAATTTTAAATGTTGATGTTGAAAGAAATAATAATATTTTAATGTCTTTAACATTCAAGTGCATCCCTTGGAAACTATCCCTAATCTTGTGATGCTAAAAGAGCCTTATACTACCAATGTTTCCAGGAAACTATTCTAAACTTCTGTTTTTCTCTGTTTTTTTTTTTTTAAAAAGCACAACAGTGAGAATTGGCAGTGCTTACCTTATGTTCCTGGAAGTTCAGATTGTAGTTCCAAAATTTCTCAGAAAAATAGGATGACTAACTGCGTGCATTTCTATTCTTATGCAATCAGGAGTCACGGCAGTAATCAAGCACGGTCACTTGAACACTTTATTCTCTAGTGATATAGTCACTGATTTTTATTCCAATAGAACAATTAATCATGAAGAAACTGATAGAAACCTATATTAATAGTCCACTTGAATTGATCAAAATTGATTTTCTGCTGTCATTCTAATTATATAAATAACAAAATAAATGCACTAGATTCTCTCTTTTCTTAATGTTATAAAGAATACGTATACTTGTGAACAATTAAAATATCTTGTGTAGATGGGAAATGCTTACTTAAAAACTAAACATGTGATATTAAAAAAGTTACTGCTTTTAAGACAAAAAACCCCAACTCTTTGCAAATGTTTACATCCCCATTCTATAACATATGTTGCAGAAATTGTACACTTTATGTACATACACTGTAATGACCATTTGGCAAGCTTCAATATTTATCAGGCGAACCCATTACCTACATTGTATCACTCTGCAACTACACAATCGGTAGTCCTTGAGATACAACAGACCTTTCAGTGACTGTTCAAAGTTATATCCCCCACACCCCTCAAAGCTACATATGAAACAGTTTCAAAGTTATGATGCTGCAGTGCCCCCATGGTCATTTGCCCTGACAACCAACCACAGAGAATCTGCAACACACCCACCCACATTCTTTCCCTGTCAGGTCCTCAGAGGCACTGGGCTTACTTTGCCATCCTAACAGCTTCTACATACTCCTCTCCACCCCCATACCATCACGATTTGCTCACTTACCCTTTGAAGTATCCAGATAGTAATGCTCACTGATCAGCAATTAAGCTAACTAACATAAAACAAGGTGCTTTATCACCAATGGCTGATAGCTTTGGAAAACTGAACAGTTCTTCAATTGAGGCTCCCATTTACAGACCCTCAGGGAAGGTCTTAATTCTCTTTAACTTTCTTTTCCACGAGCAACGTCTGCTAAGTTGGTTTAGTATCAGCACTTATTCATACACTGTATGTAATATAGCGGTGTTATGTTTTCTATTTGTTGAAAGCCACCAGGATTAACTTCATTTTTGTCATCAGAACATGTAGCTTTTAAATAATATTTTAATGGACAATTTCATTGTGCAATTATATAGAAAACAGGGCATGACAGGGTTCATTTTTATGAAGTATTGCTTTTGAATTTGTTTATAAATGGTCTGGTGTCAGTAATGAGGAAAGTTTGCTGCTGATACCATTGCATTTTATTATCCCAATGACAATAAACTGGCACTGGAAGGAGCTCCAGAACAATCCCCTTAAACTGGGTGAACAGGTCTTAGTAATCTCAGTAATGCACCTTCAAGCAAATATTCAAACTTCTCTTAGATGTGAATAGAGTTGTGCATAGAAGGACAGTGTGGTTAGAATTGTTCTGCCTTTCTCAAAATATTAAAAAGTTCATTTGCTCATTGAAACTAAAGATATTTAGGATAAAAGGAAATATTCACTGCCATCACATATGGTAGCTATTGATTTACATTTTTTAAATCGAAGTAGACAAATTCATGGAAGACCAAGCTATTAATGGTTTAAGTATCTCATTCATTCTCTAAAGTGAACCTGAAAATATTAAAGGATTTATAGTAGACAGTGTTAGCAGATTATTATATTCCATGTATACATCACAAATTTCTGTTGATGTTATATTTTGAATGTAAGATGTTTAGTTATTTCCTGAATTATGATAAATCAGGCTTGGTACCATTAGATCTGAATTATAATTTTATGTATTTATATCTTGAAATTTTAATTTATATCATTATTTTATTCTATTCATAGAACACAGTCTTGATTGATGAATTTATTTCCAATTTTGATAAATATCTTTTGAATTAATGTACTTTCTAATTGATCTCTGTTAATTAAACTTTAGAGTTTCACAATTTGGCTATTGTGTTTGGTTCAGTTTCAAGAGTTATTATTTGATCCTGCTGAAATTCTGCTAAGTTTTAGGATCCTTATTTGTTTTAGAGATTTCACTACCTGAAGTATAGTAATAATAATTGAAACATAATATTAAATCTTATTTTGGAGAATGAGCTAATTGGTCCTCTTGTCTAATATCACTTTTAACAATTTAGATTTACAAAAATTAAAATTAAGCTTGATTCATATACAAATGTTTCCCTTCCAAACTTATTATAAACAAATACAATCAACATCCTAATAGACATACCAAAATATTAAAAGAAGAAATATGCAATAAACAAACCAACATCCATTATCATAAAAAAGAAAATATATAACATTCTAAGACTACATAAAATTAATAACTAACCAATTAATATTACCAAACTGCTTATACATGAATACTGATCGGACTATTCCATAAATTATCATTGTCATTTATACTCAGCTTTGATTAGTGGCATGGCAGCCTGGAAATCTCCTCCCACTGGAAGGTTGAGAGTTCAAATCTAGGCAGAAGCAGATGTTTCTCTATAAGAGTGCAAAGAGAAAATATATGGTGTGAATTCTACATAGACACTAGTGGAAGACCCTCTGGCCAGTAAACACTCAACTCCATTCAGTCGCCCAGACTCTACCCTGAATAAAGAGATTAAAGAGTCAATTTTTAAAAAATTCTCAACTTTGCTATTAAAAGAAGTGTTTTTGACCATCTGTCTGTGTATAATAATATGTCTAACCTATCTTAAGTTTTTAAGTTTTTTATAGATATACTGTACTTTTATGGGAAACACATTCTCTTTAAGAAATGCTTTAAGGTTAACTTCTCTAATTCGGTCAGAAATAAATTGCATAGTCAATATTTTATTATATATATTGTTGTCTTCCAATAATAGATCTTCCAATAACAAGCTCCCAAACATTCTTTAAACTCAGTAAATTCCTAGTTCCTGAAGAGCCTATACATTTATGGATCGCCTTTCACATGTTCTTATATTGTACCATACTTTCTCCAGAATGGATAATGTATGTTTATTTCTGTTTTGATTCCGGGAATAGAAAAAAACTCTGTCTGATTCAACATTTAATTCAAGCTGCTGCAATATTGTTTAGGGATATTTGGTACTCTTCATGTAAGCATTCTTCATATTAGAATGAATATTGCTATAATTTTAGATACTTTACTATTTGTGCTGCACTATTTATGGTAATAAATAGTACAATAGAGAACGGTATTTCCATAAGCCAGCTTGGTTTTGAATATGATTTATTCTGAGTCATTTTCATTCATGCTTTTCTGATATTGTTTATATTAAGTTTCTTTGAACTTTGAGAGGAGATAAATTGAAATATTTATATGTGCCATATATATTTATGACAGCAGATTAAATGCATCAATTATCTAGGCCAACAGAAAATATTTTAGAAAATGTAAGCATCTTAACTTACATTAGAGGGAAAATTTATATTTGTTACACTTTTTAACAACTAGATTGTGAGTTATTTTGAGAGACTATACTTGTGCAACAATTAATCAGGTTGAAGGGTGATGAAGCCTGTTGCATATTGGCTTTGCTTGGCTGGAATTTAGTTGCCAGGTTTCATAAGATAGCTTTTCTCTACTGAAAATGAATAAAAGGAAATTGAATTGTAGTTACCTTGATAAACCAAGTTTATCAAAGGTTAAACTTGTGACCTTGTCCCCCCCCCCCTTCAAAATAGAGGAATCTTAAATAAGAATTCTCTTTCAACTTTTGAATACTGTGATAACCATGAATGGCAGTGATCAATAATAATTTTCTTCTTTTTTGATGTTTATTTCTAGGACTCTGTTGATCAGACGTCGGCACATACAGGTCGAGATCTAGTGGAACCTGGATACCAAAAACAATCAAGTCGCACTTCATTAAATCACCAAGGAGGTAAGGGAAATAGGATGCAGGCATCTTTATTAAGCATATAAGGAAAAGAAAAAACCAGTAACATAACAACAGCATACAATTTAAAACATCATAACATTTTCCAGTTGGCAAAGCATTGAGGAAAATGGTAAACTAGAAGGGTTCAAAATACTTTGTAGTTGAAATGTCCTATTATTCTAGTTCAGAACAGTTACTTTGTTTTTATTCAAAAGGTTTGCAGTTGATCATCCAGGTTTAAGCTTGAAACTTTTTTGGCCATGTTCAGAACAAATTAGTATCAAGCCTGAATTTGAAACATTTCATTCTGTACCCTTCCAGGATTGACTTTGGGTTTAAATCTTTCTTAGGCTATATGTTAAAAGGAAATTAATATGCACGAAGAGATGTAAGGATTTTTAAAGCTCACACAGTGCTGTATGGTTCAAATAAATGAAATAGAATTGAAGTAGTTTCATGAAATACAACAGAATAATTCTCTTCCCAATATGTCAAATCAATTATTAGTTCTCTAATAATTTCTATACCTCTTTCACAATCCATTTAGAAAGCTTCAGTATTTGAAGCTTCAGTATTTGAAGCTGAATCACTGATTATTATCATCATCGCAGCAGTCATCATTTCCTTCCTTTGGCTGATGTTTTTAGATTCCAATTGGGAATAGCCATTTGTTGTAAAGCAACAAGATTTTTCTGACCAAGGCTTCCAAGATCATAATTAAGCACATACTTAGTTAAAACAACTCTTATTTTATTTCAATACTGGGAATTATTTTCATTCCCTGCCTGTAATAAGTCCCAAATAGTCCATCAAGATACGTACCCACCTTTCTCTCCTTTGAATTGCTACCAACAACAAAAGTGCCAAATGAACTATAAAAAACGAACCGAAGTACAAAGTACACACAGAGCTTCAGGGATTAATCTGAACAGAATGAATGACTTTGCTTCCTACAAAGGTTTCTTCACCTTTGCCTGTCCTTTATACTTTATGGGAGTGGCAATCACTTCCAAACCTTACTCCCAAGTCACCACTTTTGTCTCAGCTGCTCTTACCTTCTAGCAGCTCTGCGCACACTTGCACTGGTAACAGGCTCCCTTTGTTCCTCTGCCTCACTGCTGCCAGACTCTGGAGGCTCTGGAGTCAGCACCCCACGCCCAGATGGTCCTGGCCCCATCTCTGAATCGGACATAGGACCCTCGTCCGAATCCTCTCCAGACTTGAGGACTGGTCCCCCGTTCTTCCCCACTGTCTGATTCCACTGCTGTCTGCACAGGCTGCCGGTGAACCACACCGAAGATAATAGCAGAATAGCATCAAAAGGAAAGGCAGGTCTCATGATTCCCAAAGTTAAGAGTCTACACTATTTGTCCCAGTTTGCCACGTATAGATTACCTAGTCAGAAAAGAAAAAAAGAAAAAAACTTCTGAATTGCTTTTTGGTTAAAGTTTCTCTTCAACCTTTGACAAGGGTTAGTAGAAATGTAACTAGCTTTCAAAGTTTTAGAATCTGTTCTATAAATCAATATATGTGAGTATTAAAATGGCAATTGAGATGCTTTTCCTTAGGTATGGGGCTACAGTAGCTGGCTATCTGGATTGGTTTCTATTCCTCTTTCTTTTGCATCTTGTAGCACTTTATATTTACATCTTGTAGCACCTTAATTTAACTTGTGATTCCCCCCCCCCGCACATAAACTTAGATAAATGCTTCTGCTATTGTTTAAATGGTCGTCAAAACAGGTAAACAACATTTTGATTCCTAAAACTTTAAATTTTATCACAGTAATTCTCCTCACAATGGCAATTGTAATTTCTCCCATCTTAAAATATCTTTTTAAAAGTATCTTTTTAAATTTAATTCCTTATCTTCTAACCTAATTATTATGAAATAACATACTATACATATCCATCAATGATACCCAACTACTATACCTTTTTAGTTTTAAAGCCTGTTTCATTCATCAGTTCTGTTAGATCTATTTTCATTTTTGGATAAGCATCTGTATCTTCTTGTTTATTAATCAATAACTGCAAATGGAACAAATTGTTTTAATTTGCCCATTAATATTCTAATTCCTTTAAAAGATCTTCTAGAATCAACAAGTCATCTGCAAAAGTCCTTGACTTCTAAATTTCTTTTTTTATCTTTAATCCCAAATCTTGTGTTATAACTCTAATTCAGTATTTTCAGAACCAAAATAAACAAAGAGAGTGGATAGTGGACATTCCTTAATTTTTGTATCTCACAGTTTTAAAGATCTCCCTTAGCAATTATGTATGCTTTGTGTAAAGCAGATTGATCTTATTCATTTTATGATTTCTCCCCCCCCCCCACCAAATGTTATATTTTCCAGATCCTGAAATAAGGAAACCAAACATCAAAGGCATCTTCTATATCTATGAAGATCTCATTTCCTATATATAAGGAAATATATAGTCTTTTACTGAATATTGCCCAGAGTCCGTATGTGAGGGAGGTGGACAGTTTAAAATATGATAAATAAATAAACGAAATAAAGATTTAGAAATTGGTATCATTCATATTACTGAAGCAGAAAGGCCCTAGGGAGGAATCCAATAATTTTTGCATATCTTAAGAGCATTCTTTCCTAAAACTCAGTTGTTTATGTGTACTCAGTCATCTAATTAATATACAGCATATGATCCTTATATGAAAACATAATAAGAATCATGGGCTGTATGTTTAGTTTTTTATATTATTAATTTCTTTTTAAAAAAAAGACACTGATATTACATATTAGTTGCTTGTGTCTGCATAGAAAAGAAAATAGTATAAAACACTATCAGGGAGATGGGCATATGAATTTAATAAATAAATTAAAATACACAAATACTTTGCAGAATATTTTACTTCAGTTTTTTAAAAATGCATAATGTATTTGTGTACTTTGTTCTTTTTCTTCATTTATTTTCACCAGTGTTTTAAAAACAATAAAAGAATAGATTAAAAACAATATTTGTATACACCCACATATATATATATGTAAGTTTATTGTAAATTTTATAAATAATAAAAATTTACAGTACTTTTTATTGCAAAATTCCACATACAACATGATTTAATTGTGTATCAAATATGTAATTATGTATTTGTATATTTATAATACACAAATATTTAAATATTTATTAATTGCATTTGACTTCGCCACAATTATGTTCACAATCCTTTGGCATACAAACCTCAATATATAGTATAGTACTTTGTGAATGATTCAACATGTGCTGATTTCAACATTAATTCTCGTTAAACAGCCTCATAATCGCTAAACAGAATTCTCAAAAACTGGCCATCAAACAAAGGCCACTGAACTAAGGTTTCACTGATAAAAACATAGCTTTCAAGAATTATTTTAAAATTACTTCCTACCTGCAAACAGTGATTCTTAACTGTAGAAAAGAGAAGCAGACTAACCTGAAGTGAGCCTGGCATATGTAAAGTCACAGAGGGGGCAGAAGAGTTAATAATCAATCAACAATGAAAGCCTTGCCTATTATCAAGAAGACTGTTCTCTTCTTTTTTTGAGCTACATTGTCAACATAACTGGCCCATGTGATGTTGTCTGTTCTTCTCTGCATGTGCACATTTCCTCCTATTTCTTCCCCATTTCACATTCAATTTGAACTGGACAAGCCTTGAAGGAAGATGGTTGAGATGTACATTTCAATGGTTGTATGTAGTATTAAGTTTGAATAGTGTCTGCTTTTAACAACTGGTTTGCAACATTGCTGAAAATTTAAAAATTGCTTCTTGTGAATCAGAAAGAACTGACTCCAGGACATCAGTACTTTCTGATATTCTCTTCCCAAATACTCTCCACCATATAAGACCTTGCTCTGAACAGATTTAGATTATTACCCATCAGATGTTTTAATGGCACGTCTAAGGACAGAATTATTTATAATGGATTTTTGTATGGTATGATATGTTTCACCAGTCTGCATTTAAACTGAAGAACCTAGAAACCCTTTTTTGTGTAGTTTGTAGGAAATTTAGATGAGTGACAATCAGTTGACAGTACTTAAATTTCTTTTGCAGGCTATTTCTTCTAATGGTTACATTGGGTACATTTGAGTTAGCCATGCATTAATAATACAGGTAAAATAAAGGTAAAACATCCTAAAGATCACTTTTATAAATTTGTCAAAAATGCTCAGGTACTTTATTTTTTTACTTACAGTATATAACTTTAGTTATCTTGCACAACTTAGGTTTGGTTAGCAAATTTTACTATATTGTCAGAGTTTCAATAATTTAGTTTCTCTTAATTTTTGGTAAATGCAAGGCAGATTAAGTAATGTTCAGTATAAATCAATTTGTAGTATTTATTGAAGACGAGTTTCAACATAACCTTAGCTAATTATGAAAAGTTAACTTAAAAATGCTTGGTTTTTTTATTATAGATAGTATGGGGAGGGGCGTAGTCTTTGTTTTAAAGGAACCAGTGCCACCTGGTGGTTTTATGTTATGATTTAGCCAAATAGAGTCATGATAAAGATTAATTATTACAACATATATTTTAGTGTTGGACAAAATATACAGAATTGCAACTTTATATATCAATAATTTGAAAATTACAAGTGATGAGATCAGTGCAAAGGGAAAGTGCATATATTTATATTTACTTTATGTAAAGAAGAGGAGGGGAACCTATTTTCCAAAGCAAGGCAAGAAACTATGGAAGAAAACTGGGGGGCAGAATTGGTTTCTGTCTTCAGTCTAGTTCTTGTGTTTGTATCTAGTTGCTACTGAGTATCTGTTCTGGGTTTGAGGACCTATCTATTCCCCAGATCTTATTCAGGATGGGCTTTAAATTTTTGTAATTGGTAACGGAAAGCATCAAGGTTGGAGTGTGGAGTTTTCTAGACAATGGACAAAGGCAATTGAAACAACTAACAATGGTACGTGTTTCCATATCCTGTAGATCAGCTATATATTAAAACTTTTGGCTTTCAGTTTGCCTACAGTTGAATCACGGTGTC